TTCACTCAGTAAGAAGTTTGCTAATGCTCATAATTAAAATGGCTGTAACAGTTCCAAATTTAAATGTATTATCGTTTTGTTAAAAGTTAAATATAGTGCATAATATGGAGATCACGTCATTTCTTTTTTTCACCATGTTTCTTTTTTATTATTTATGTACAGCCTTGCTAAATCTTGCTAAGCATTCAAAAGAGAGAATGTTTGCACCTGTTATCTATATTTTAAAATCGTTTTTTGAGTATGTTCCACTATTCACAATTCTACAAAATTTTAACAGTCTATAGCCAAGACTGTTTGGATAATAAAAAGCAAAAAAAAAAAATTCACTCCCAAGTGCCCACGAACCTGCATCTCTACCTTAAATTGTCAATGTTTTTCATTGCATCTAAAAGTTGAAAATCATTTTGATTTTTAATTAGATTGTCTATTCAACGAATTTCATTGCATCCAGATGTTGGCAAACATTTTGTTTTCCAATGACTTTCTTTGCATCTGAATGTTGGCATTCATTTTGTTTTTCATTAGATTGTCTGTTCAATGATTTTCAATGCATGTTGATGTTGGCAATCATTTTGTTTTCCAATGACTTTCTTTGCATCTGAATGTGGGCAATAATTTTGTTTTTCATTAGATTGTCTGTTCAATGATTTTCTTTGCATTCAAATGTTGGCAATCGCTTTATTTCTTATTAATTCGGAAAAGAGGTGAAATATGCTGATGGCATTTCCCTTTTTATGTCCAATCACAATGGAATATATATATATATATACATACATGTGTTTATTTTCCATGCCAGATTTCAAACGAATTCAAACCATTGCGTTGAAAAATCATAATTTCTTGACAATCTAAAGTCATTTCATAAAAGTAGCTTCAGTTATGTTTTATTCATTTCGCCGTTTTCAGATGGTTTCTTGTTGAAACTAATTACGATCACTGGCTGCCACCACCATCTAGTGATGACAGAAGGTAAGAATGTAATTTTAAAACGCAACAGTTGTATTTGCATCAGTGACAAGGTTTATGGAATTGCCTGAGAATTCCTACATTAGCAATGAAGTACCATGCCTTCACTCCAGGCCTTAATCTCCTTAACAATGTGTGACAATTCTAGATTAAAAGTCGCACACATTCTTTTTGAAATATTGAGAACCAAAAATTCACCGTTTCTCATGTGGAGATGCTCTAATAAAAGCCACATTCATTCTGCTGTATTGTACCATGTTCATAGAAGCTGCAGTTTCTAATACAAATTTTCCCAGTAAATAGGGAAGAAATGTGTTAACCTCATATTGGATTTTTGCAAATGATTATGGGATAGAAAAAAGAACTATAGAGGGCGTTTGGAGGGATAAACTTATTGTTAGCGCAGGGCTGTACGGAAAAAACGCCCTCTATGCCGGTAGTTCAATTTTCTATCCCACACCCGATATGGGGTTTAACACAATTCTTCTCTATACTGTAAACTCATCACTGGATTTTAG